TGAGCTCCACGGCAGCTGGGCAGCCACAGACCATGGCAATGACTCAGGTACAAGTGTACGGAGTGCAGAGGTCAGGGTGACAAAGGAGAGCGGGCGCATCCATTCCTCAGTCTGCGATGTGGAGACACTTCCTTAAGCACTCTCTGCCTTTGCTTCTGTGAGCACAGCACTCCTCTCTTCCCAGCATAATCTCTGCCTCCAGGAGAACCATCTGGAAGGGTCACGTCCAAGCCTGCCTTTTCCTCGGCAGAAGTGTGAGGCCAGGGAGTCACGTTAGCAAGCTTTGTCTTGAGCTCCCCTGAAAGCCTTTGCTATGCGGCCTCCGGCCCCAGAGGAGCCCTGAGATCACCCTTAAGACGCCTGCCAGGAAGCAAAGCGCTCTGTTAAACACCACAGTGAACATGCCCACGTGACAGAGACGAGTGAGCACCAGCAGACATCCAGGAGAGGAGAAAAAAGCTACCCTGACAAACAACATTTGTTAGGGACCTACTGTGTGCTGAGGCTACGGTCACTCTGTATTAGGTAATCGGAACAGCAGCCATGTGATTCCAGCGACAGATGGAGATGCTGGGAGCCAAGCCAGACAGTTCTGTGTGGTTCCCACTTTGCCCCTGGCCTCCCCCAGCCGCCGCCTTCTGCTAGTGGGCACCTCGGTTGGGAGGGAGGGGCAAGTAATACATATAGGTTAGTATTGAATGTACATTTACGTAGTAATTTTTAAAGCATTCATCTATTTACAAGGGATTTATAATCTATGTATTAATCCCTGATCATTCTTTCCAATTATTAAGTCAGACATGGGAGGAGCCTTAACACTTGAAGTCTAGAAAGTGCTCAGCCACAGGTACTGTTTCAGCTGCTGTTTCTCATCTTGGCCACAGCCCCTACTTCTCGCACCCATCTCAGCGGCCGAGCCCAGCCCTCAGCGGCTCTGCTCCTCAGCCAGCAAGGCCACATCTCCCTCTTCGGGCCCCCAATCCCGCCTTTCCCACCCCCAGCCTGCCCTTGCCTCACCACCCACTGGCTTTCAGGTTTGGAGTTACAAAGATCACTAGAATAACTTACTTGTGGGATTTTAAATATACTTAGGCCCTAGCTGGTTTGGCTCAGTGGATAGAGCAGCAGCCTGCAGAATGAAGAGCCCTAGGTTCAATTCCAGTCAAGGGCACATGCCCGGGTTGCAGGCTCGATCCCCAGTAGGAAGCGTGCAGAAGGCAGCCAGTCAATGATTCTCTCTCATCATTGATGTTTCTCTCTCTTTTTGGATCAGGTCATGTACGATACTGACTGCTCTAAGTTCTAAGCAAAGTATTTAGTAGAAGTGAACATTTGACATTCAGGCACTTGTAAATGTCCTGTGCTAAGGCAAGAGAGGTTTGGCTTTCCAATAGTGCTCAAAAGTCTCCCAGGAGAAAAAGGCAATGCCGATCTCCCTAACCTCCCAACCCACCCATATCCACCACGGGTTTGGTTATGGGGTTCTCATTTACAACAGTGAAGTTACTGGCAGCAGCAAGTGTTCCAACAAGGCAAACTTTGTAGTGAGCCATGTCCAAAACCAAGCACAACTGTATGAACACTTATGGTAACCGTGTTTTTTCCCCTAGTGAAATCAAACTCCACGACTCCACTTTTGTCTCAGCCTTGCCAGCCACCTCGGCCTCCCCACAGTTCTCTTGTCTGGGTTATAACTATCAAATAGGCAGAGGTTGGAAGATTTCATGTCAAAGAATCACTTTGAGTGAAATGGATGAAGAAATGTAATTAACAAATAGGGAGAAGTTAGGGGCCAAACTTCTCCACTCAGTGTTAAGCCAGTGACTTTTAGCAGAAAGAGTTTAATAAAAATCTCTGCTGGTCACAGCTTCCTGAAGGAGCAGAAAATGGGTTCATTGAGTTACTAGCCTCTGTACAATTGAAATTTTATAAAGAAACTAGAGGCCCAGTGCACAAAATTCATGCAAGGGGCTCGGCCTTTGCAGCCCCAGCTTCATCCGGAAGGTCGTTAGGCTGTCTGGTCTAATTAGTATAGTACGTTTTTATTATTATAGATTCTCAACCAAAGAGCAGGCTTTGCTGACCCATAAGCAATACAGACTCAGAGGGGAAAAAATGTAGTTGCCGTTCTTCCAGACAATATAGTGGCTAATGAGAAACAAATTCAAAATCAGACACAGTCAATATTGATGCAGTCAATATGAATCCAATAGAACACATTTCATGTGTTTAATGCAAATAATAGTGGCTCAAAATACAACGGCAGTGGGACATACTAATTCACTGTTTATATAACTCAGTCATAGATCTCTAAAAGTCAACATGCAAATGAATTCATATACTGGACAGGTAAATATTCTCATTGAAGTGTCTAACACCTAAGCAAATAGGCTCAATGCTTCTCCCAAAAGTTGCAGCAGGTCTATTACACTATCTTTGTCTCTAAAAAATTTTTTTCTTATTAAAAAACTAATAAAATTCCAGAACCAGCTCCCTTGTCTACAGAGATTCTTTAAATTAGGCATTCTTTCATTCGTTTTTTATTTCATAATCACACAGAAGAGCAGCTCTAACGGGACAGTTTGCAGTGGGTGTAGAGATAAAGGTGAGGAGGGCATAGTCTCCTGATGCGGAGATGGCAGGGAAACAAGGCCCGCTTTCTTCTGAGCCTTCACTCGGGCTGGGGGTAGAGTCCACAGCAATTACCACAAGCACGAGACTCACCCCTGGCCCTCTGCTTCTGCACCAAGGCGGGGGGGGGGGGGCGTTGAGGGGGAAGCACATGTGGTTCTCATTTACAACAGCAACAGTTGGTATGAAGTCGGCAATGTGAATCTCCATTCAGTCGTTGGGGTCGGGGCGGGGCGGGGGGGGGGGGGGCGGGGGGCAGGGGGAGAGCAGAGGAAAAGACGGAGGCCTGAGGTTTCTGTCTGGGCTTTTGGCCCAGATTTTTGTCTACATCACTTGGCTTCTCTGGGCCAGGATCAAATGAGGATGGTGTCACCTGACACCAGAAAACGTGAGTGCCACTCTCAGAGCCTCTCGGAGAAGCCTACGTGAGGAAGCCGTGGCTGCAGGACCAGGACGCTCTTAGAATGACACTGTGCCTCCCAATCCGTGGAGCTGCACAACTAGGTGAAGGCACAAAATGCTCTTCCCCCATACAAGAATGAAAGCCTTTCTCACTCAAAATACAGGCACGGCTTTGAAGGATGTGAACAGGAAACACAGAAACCATCTTCTTTGTAAGATCTGAGTCACTGTTCTCCTTAGTTATAGAAGCCGCACCCAACATCCAGATGTGTACTCTTGTTCAATTCCACTGTCTGTGCAAGCCAACTAATGTGTAGAGCGACCTTTTTTAAATCTGTAAAATGGGCATAACATCTTTTTAGCGAAGTTACAAGACGCCTGTGAGATTTCAGTGAGGTGATGTATGTGACGGGCCTTGCATCATAAACTCTCGGACATTGCGTTTCACCCTGTGCCATGAGGAGAAGGCCCAGCCTGCTCCCTTCTTCTCTAATGCGTCTTTCTAGGCTCCAGATTGAGTCCAAGCTTTGTTTCCTCCTACAATCCCTTTCCCCCTGTGATGCACACTGTCTGACAGGACATCCGACAGCCCTACTCCATCCCTCCCCTCCTAACCAGCCTTCTTCTCCAACCAGCTTTCAACTCCCTTTAATGATATGTGTAATGAATGGATGTGTTTAATATAACATGTGTTTTCCTAAGTCATGCATAATAGCTGTAGAAAATTCTGGCTAGTCAGATAAAGCACCTGTTGGCTGTGGAGCTGGCCTAAGTTCCACACCTGGTTTGGCTCTTCTCACTGCAAAAGTCTATTCCGGTCCAGGTGGCTGGTCTCCTATCCTGAAGTTTGGTGCAAACAACACCTACATCAGATGCAACTGCAATGGAATTCCAGGGCCCCACCTCTGCCCCGAGCCTGAACCACAACCCCTGTGGGTAGGGCCCGGTCATGTGCGCTGCATTTCTGAAAAACTACTCAGGTGATTTTCCACAGACCAAGGTTTCAGAGGCTCTGCTCCGACTCCAGAGCTCACTTCAGAAGCAAGGATGGGGCGGTCCCGACTCTCAGTGCTGATGTAGGCTGAGAGCCTGTGTGAGATGAAGACTCGCCCCTTACACCCAGACCTACCGACCGGAACCTGCAGTTCAAGCGAATCCCCAGGAGGTTCTGCTGTATCCCCGGGGAAGCTTTACAACCTAGCGGTACCTGGGCCCCACCCAAAGATGTAGGGGGTCGGCCAAGGCAGTGGGGTCTTAACAAGCTTCCCAAGCTATTATTATGTTCAGCCAGAATAGAGGGCCATTGACTTCTAAATTCCAGCTCTTTTTCTACTTCAAGTAATTTTTATTTTTCAATTAGAGGTGGCATACATTATATTAGATTCAGGTGTGCAACCCAGTGATCCGATATTATATAACATACTAGTGATCACCCCAATAAGTCAAGTACCCACCTGGCACCACACATCGTTATTACAATATTATTGACTCTATTCCCTATGCTGTATTTTACATCCCTGTGATTATTTTGTAGCTACCAATTTACACTTCTTAATCCCCTCACCTTTTCACCCATCCCTAAATTTCAGCTTCTTAAGGTTAAGCTATAGCCTGAGTTAAATTGGCCTCTGTGGTCTTGCCCAGGCCTAAGGACCACTTAAAGTGCTTTTTAAGGGACAACAGACTCTGGAGACAAACAAGTTCCACCACACAATGTTAAGGTCACCAAAACCTAGGCAAGCAGGCAGGACACACCCATGGTGCGCCCTGCGCCCCTGCCCTTCCCATCCTCGGATCGCCCCTCCCTCCCTGGCAGCTCCGCCCCTCCCTGGTAGCCCCTCCCCGGTAGCCCCACCCCTTCTAGGTAGCCCCGCCCCCCTGTGACGTGCCGCCAGGGCCCGGCTCATGCGCATTGGCGCCCGCGCCTCCCGGCCGCTCCTCCCCGGCGCTGTCATTCTCCGCGGCGCGGCGCCCAGTGCGGACTGCGGTGCCCGCAGCCCCTCGCCCGCCCTCGCCCGCCCCTCGCCCGCCCAGGCCGGCTGGCGAGCTCGCGATGTGACCGAGCCTGGGAGCGGGCGGGCGGCTCTGCGAGCAGCAGCGCCTCGGCTTCTGTCTGGCCGCGCGTTCCCTGCGGAGCCGCGATTCCCTCGGAGCGGGAGAGGCACACCAGGGGCTCGGAGCGCGCCCCCCGGGCCCGGTGCAGCCGCCGCCTCCGCCGGGCACCGCGGAGCCGAGGCGGCTGGTGCAGCGCGGGGCCACCGGCCGCGCGCAGCCGAGCGCGGTCCCCAAGAAGGCGCCCAGTTCGCTGCGTCCCGCGAGTTGACTGCAGTTTCCGAAGTTGGAGGGAGCCGTGCGGAGGCGAGGTTGGTTGTTATCATCTTCGCGGTGTGGGAAGCTGGGGTGGCATCTCTTGTTAGCCGGGCGCCAGCTTGGGGAGGTCAGGGTGCCAGACGCGGACACACACACGCGGGAGAGGCCGCGGCGCAGCGGCCGTGCCAGCTGGACACGTGCAGCGCGAGGACAGGTGCTCGCGGGCACCGCGCCCGCTGCCCAGGGCACATTCCCAGCTTCGCCGCGGTGTGTGTGTGGGGGGGGGGGGGGGGCGGGAGGTGGGGGAGAGGAGGGGAAGGAGGGGCGCAGGGGCCGGTCACCTCGTCCTAAGTCCTGGGGAGCCTCCTGTAATATCCCTGGGTGCCCTGGGTCTTTGGGGATGGGAGCTAAGCCCCAGGCTTCCCGGGCACCCCACTTCTGTCTTCCCCTCGACGAAAGCTGCCAGCGTCTCCATAACAGCCCAGGGTTTTATGGGGAAAACAACTTGTATGTCAGCCCAGCGTTCTGTGCTACAAGGCGAATGACATGGGAAATGTGCTCTGTTATGTGATTTCGTGCACTTTAAGAATGTGAGCAAGTCTCGGAGGAGCAGGATGTGGATGGCACTTGGGTTTCACCCTGCCGTCCTGCGCCTCTTATGTAAGCCTCGCGGGGCAGCCCTGGCTCCCAGGGCAGCAGCTGTGGCTCCCGCTGCATTTGTCCACGGTCCGGCTTGAGCGGCCTTTAATGGAAACGCTGACATGATCCAGGAGGCCTGACACTCGTGTGCTCTTCAGGTTGGAGTGCCTTCCCCTGACAGGAAGCAAGCGAGCAGAAACCCAGCATATTTCCAAGGCAGCTCCAGGAATTAGACACTGAGTCGTGTTTTAAAATACATGCACTGTCAGAGCCCGCAGAGGACCTGTGACATGTCCCCTTTGTTTTGGAGAAAGTGGAACTTGGTCCTGCCAGGCAAGTGTGGATGGAGCCTGAAAGTTAAGAGCACTGAAGGGATTAATTATCCTAGTAAACAAAGAGCATGGTTTATAGGTAGCTGCCTGGTGGACTTTGACGGATAGACTTTTTAATTTTTCTTTCTCATCTCTCCCCCAGAGATTCCTTCTATGCAGATTGGTAGATCCTCATCATTGATGTTCAATATTTGAGTTGATCAAATTTGTAAAAGGATACGTTGAAGTACCATATAGTACTGTGGTGACTAAGACAGTGAGGATTAGAAATAAGGAGACTATTCAGATTATTTAATGTAGTAGTCATTAGTGTATCCAAACAGATAACATTAATACTGCTCTAATATCTATCTATCTACCTACCTATCTATCTGTCTACCTACCTATTTATCTACCTATCTATATTTTTTAATTTGGACTTATAATTGTTAAAATCAAAACTCATGGGTACATTTTAATGTAAGACTTTTTTTGGGGTAATCTTTAGAAAAAGAAGCACATTTATTTATGGTATTCCAGCATAGAACAAGATGAACTACTTATAGGTACCTCACTTAAAAACATACAGTTTCTTTGAAGAGTTCTAAGAAAATATACAAAATATTATTTCAAAGGTTGGAAAGTTGGTCAGGTCAACACACTGTGGTTTGTGAGACTATCCATGGCTTATATCTGAAAGAGAGACACCCAGGTTTGGGGTCTCAAGCAGGTTGACCCCCCAAAGCACTTGCATTGTTATAGAGAGGACAGAGCAGGGCAGGTACCTAAACTCTGGGCCTCAGTGTCATTGTCTGTGAAATGGGGTGACAGCAGCTCCTCCCTCATTGACTTGGGTGAGGATTAGATGAGCTATAGACGTGAAGCTGTTGCACCAGTGTCTGGCCCATGAAACTGGGTAAAGCGATCATGGTTAGGAGAGGAAATGGGCAGCTTGGATGACATTGAATGACTGCTGACGCAGGTGAACAGAGTCAGTTCAGGTGTATAACAAGGGGAAGGTATAAGCATTTACTAGACACCTCCTAGGGATGCAGACTGGCTGGGGTCTGATTCGCCGTCTCCCACAATTCCTCTCCGAGGTACGTGACTCCATGTCCGCGTTAGAGATGGGGAAACTGAAGCCCAGGCGATCAAGTAGTAGAACCCAGCGTGGGGATCTTCGCCCGCGCCCGTCGTTTCAAACCCTGTTGTTTTAAAGCCGGCTGCCTCAACTTGCCCACTGCTGCCTCTGTCGCCCTCTTCTCCTCCCCACAAGAACATGATGAAATAAGTGCAGTATTATCTTCAATTTACAGATGAGGACACTGAGGTTGCACATTAAAGTATGCAAAGTGCTAGGCAGCAATCACAACCTCTTTCTCCGTGACGGGGAGCTTTGCTATTATCATAATTAGTGTTTAGTAACTGGCCCCTCGCAGGTGAGCGAGGTGCCAGCAGGTGCGGGGTGCTCCCTGCAGTGTGAAGTGACTCTGTGGCTTTTGACTTCCTTTTGGTCTGTTGGGCAAGTCAAGAAGAGAAAATGGGTATGAGGTTGCAACTCAGTGGAGGATGGGGCCCCCGGTTGGTTTCCTGCCTGCAGATGGGGCTGCGCTGGTCCAGGCGGACTAAACCGCGATGGAAGCAGCGATGCACCAACCGTCATGCCATCTCCCGGCGAGACTAGTCCCAGCGGAGAGCTCCCAGGGGCAGACCGAGAGCCCTGGCACGGTGCCACACACCGTCCTGTTTGCTCAGAACTGAAGTGGCTGTGCCTCACCTTAAATAAGCAAGCTTCCTCTCGGCCTTTGCACCTGCTCTGGGAGCAGCCACGGGGCCCAAGGGAGCAGTGCTGTGCCGAAACTGGTCACAGCCCGCTGGCCATCCCGCCTGACCGCTGGCGGCGGGGCCTGATGGGCAGGCTCGCGCTTCGTGGCTTTCTCCCATCACCATCCCAGTCCTCCATCATGTTCTTAGTAAACACGGCCTCTTTCCTAGGCATTAAAATTGGATCACTGTATGAGGCACGCACATGGCAGCAGGCCACTCACAGACTGATTTAATATTAATTACCCCTCTGAGCTGATGTGTCCTACCCCGGGGAGCACTTCCAGACAGATGTTCCACGCCGGCTTTCTCCGTCAAAAATTAGAACTCTCCGTGCGGTGATGCAGTTAACGACGCTGTGTTGCGTGTCTGAGAGTGGCTGAGAGCGTAGCCCTCGCAAGCTCTCATCACAAGAAAAGAGGTCTGTAGCTGCGTGGATGTTAACTGGACTTGTGGTGGTGGTTACTTCTCAGCAGGTACAAGATCCATGCATTAGGTTGCACACCTGAAATCAATATATGTTAAGTACCAATTATATCTCAAAATAAAGTAAAATAAAAGACATGCTCTCTGGGAGGGAGATCGGGGGAGGCCTCCGTGAGCTGGGGCCGCACAGCCGCAGGGGTGCACAGAACCCTGGGTGAAGCCGCTGAGGCCCGCCACAGCTCTCTGCTTGCCCCTGCTCTTCAGAGTTTGCAGACCCCTTTTCCTCAGCCATCACCTCGGGTTCAGATGCTCCTCTGTTCTGGGTGGTTCTGCAGTGAAATCTCCCCGACCCCCTCGTCACTTCAGCCGGGCCCACACTGACTTTCAACCAGCGCCTCAGAATTTGCATGTGGTCCTGTGTTCTTTCCTGTCTGGCCATCTCCTTGTTGGCTCCTCTGTGGCCACTTGCAGACTTCCCGCTCCCTCTCCCCGGCGCCGCTTCCTCTCGCGTCCGCATGGACGGGAGGCGCCGCTGCTCTTCACATGGACACACGTGCACGGTCGCTCGCTCTCTCCCGGCCACCTACCGCTTTGAATTGTCTGCACTTCGGGCTCAGGGAGTGGGGAGCTGATTACATTCTGGAGCTCTTGCCGCAGACATCCCTGAGCTCTGTTGGGGTGTGTGTGTGGGGGGGGGGGGTGGTTTATACAGGGTTCTGATTATACAGGCAAGCAGTTCTGTGCACATGGCTTCGAGCCCCTCAGGCTGGGGCACTGCGAGCTTGAGAGCACAGGGCCGGTGTGGGCGGCAGGCAGCTCCGAGTGGGATTTACCTGCCGCGTGTCCAGCCCTCACTGGCTGTGCCCTGGAGAAGACGGGAGTGGTCACTAACACGGGACTCCCTCGCGCCGGCTGCCGTGCTGAGAGCTCTACCTCAGCATTTACTGTAATCCGCAGAGTGAGCCTTATCTGGTAGGTTCTTTATTCTCCTCTTTTGCGAAAGTGGAAACGGAGGCCCAGAAAGGTCAGCGCGCTTGTCCAAGGCCACACTAGTGAGTTTTGGAGCCGAGGGTAGCGTCAGGGCTGCCTGAGAGCCCTGGGCTCCCTACACAGCATCTACTGCCGCTGGTTGTGCAGCCTCCGTGGCCGTTACACTGTTCACGGGTGTCCTAAGTTGTGCTTCTAAAAGTGATCCTAGCCCTAACCGGTTTGGCTCAGTGGATAGAGCGTCGGCCTGCGGACCGAAGGGTCTCAGGTTCGATTCCGGTCAAGGGCATGTACCTGGGTTGCGGGCACATCCCCAGTAGGAGGTGTGCAGGAGGCAGCTGATTGATGTTTCTCTCCCATAGATGTATCAGCTCTCTATCCCTCTCCCTTCCTCTCTGTAAAAAATCAATAAAATATATTTAAAAAAATAAAGGCGATCCTACACTGTCTTACTCCCTGCATTCCCTGGGGCAGGGCTGTGCCCGCCGGCCTGCCCAGCAGCTGGCATCGACTGCCATCGCCTGTCTCCGTGGAGGAAGAGTTTAAGCTTAGTCCATGCCATGAGCTCCGAGAGGAGACCCAGAGGTTCGCGTTGTGAAATAGGAAGCAGAGAGCCTGTGGCTGGTACCGGGACACCCGGGGGCCGTGTTAATGTGGCTGTTTCTCTGGGTTTGGGGTCACTTGTGTCATCCTCCTTAAAGAAAGGAGAAGTGTAGAGGCCCGGGATTTTCTCAAGTGACTAAAAGAAAAGGGGGGGGGGGGTGTTATGTAAGTGAAAAAAGGGTCAGTAGTGAGCACATGACCAACAGGGTCATGAGCCATTCACAGGGCGACTGAGGCCTTTACAGTAAATGAGCGCGCGTGTC